GAAGGACTAGCGTCCGAAACGTCAGTAAGTTTTTTCATCTTTTCACGGTGTATAATTTACCTTTTCATCATTACGCGTTTGATTAATGTTATCAAATTAAATATCCACCTATTAGCACTATTTTGCAGCAACTAACATCCCTTATGGTCAAAGGCCACCTTTTCTCATTTAGTTCTCGGATTTTTTGGCAGTCAGGAAACAAAACAATCCTTCGTTCGCGAGGGTTGTCAGTGAAGCTAACGTGGCCCCCAACTAGTTTTATCGTCATAAATGGCAGAGACTTCACCGTACAAGTATGTAGAAATTGAAAGTCTACACAGTGTAGATATAGGAAATCACCAACTGCAAGAAAATCCACACCAAACCGGTGAGACAGATTTGGCATTCATAATACTTTCTCGCCAGGAGATGTTCACACAACGACGGTCAATTGCAAATGAAGCGTAATGAAACTTTTAACCCACAATGCTTCACGCGACTTGATCACCCTCCTCTGGTGGAAAGAATAAGATCCATTTTCATGTTATAGTTATTGCGTAAGCAGTTGTCTAGTTCCGTTCATTCCGACTTCAGTAGGCACAATATTCAAATTCGAAACCGTAGCTAGAACCACAACACCACAAATATTGTACCGTTCTGATAATGCTCACTTAGGCTCAAGGATCGTTTCACTGAGAGGTGGCAAAATTGTGGTTTCTTACATAAAGTACACAGTGCATTGTTCTAAAACAGTTGTGGTGGGCGTAGGTGTTTTGTCAGCAGGAATTTCGTCAGGAAGAGTCAGTGCATTACTCTGGAGTCAATAACTGCATTGAAATGTCTCAGGAAATCCTTGCCTAAAAAATCGTTGTGGTTAAGGTTTTGTGCAACGAAAACGTTGAACCAGTAACTCTTTCGATCTATTGAAAATGGTAGCTTTAATTGACCTAGTACGGGGATATCCTGCCCACTAACTAAACTCAATACACTTGAAGCACCACGAGAGATGGTAGTTTTGTAATATATACAGTATGAGTGGCCGTGTTGTATCAGGTATACAACACGGACACGAATGCTGTAGATTGCTTGTCAAACGTCTGGCCAAGAAAATCCAACTTTAAGGTTATGCAAATAAGCACAATTTTGTATCTGATTTACAACACTCTTCACGGTCGTGATTTCTGTTGTGTTTTCCTCATGAATTATTAATGAATGAGTTTGATAAGATATGTTCAGGCAATTTCTTTTATATTTACGCACTAATTAAAATTATAATTAGCACCACATTACACAGCGACCCAAAGATAGAAAGGTTTGCGGTCGTAGGCTGATTCCCAGTTTTGAACTGTCATCATTCTTACCTCAATAGAAAAATGTTCCCCAAAAACTAAAATATCCCAAATTTTATATTACTAACCAAAATTTTATTGAAGAAATATCGATTTTTCAAGATAAAAATATTTCTGTAATCCCAATATTTTTTTCTTTTTTTTAAAATTTCGTTGGTTGCCTTATCATTCTACGAAGAGCAAATGTAAAAAATTAAAATATTTTACCATCTAGTTTTCAAGTTACTTTTTTTAACTGAACGCACGCAACTGACTTTTCTTGACGTCATCAAAAAATAAAAGGTCTTCAAGTTTCGGCTTTGCGAGCGTTCACTGAATACTATTTGAAGTCTCCAGTGCCTTGCAGCAAATAAGACAATAACAACAACAACAAACTCCCAAGATGAGGTTAGCTCTTGGAGAGAACACAGAGAATCAATATGTTTAAATAAAAAAATACAAACAAACAAGCAAACAAACAAAAAACAAAACAAAACAAAACAAAACAAAACAAAACAAAACAAAACAAAACAAAACAAAACAAAACAAAACAAAACAAAACAAAACAAAACAAAACAAAACAAAACAAAACAAAACAAAACAAAACAAAACAAAACAAAACAAAACAAAACAAAACAAAACAAAACAAAACAAAACAAAACAAAACAAAACAAAACAAAACAAAACAAAACAAAACAAAACAAAACAAAACAAAACAAAACAAAACAAAACAAAACAAAACAAAACAAAACAAAACAAAACAAAACAAAACAAAACAAAACAAAACAAAACAAAACAAAACAAAACAAAACAAAACAAAACAAAACAAAACAAAACAAAACAAAACAAAACAAAACAAAACAAAACAAAACAAAACAAAACAAAACAAAACAAAACAAAACAAAACAAAACAAAACAAAACAAAACAAAACAAAACAAAACAAAACAAAACAAAACAAAACAAAACAAAACAAAACAAAACAAAACAAAACAAAACAAAACAAAACAAAACAAAACAAAACAAAACAAAACAAAACAAAACAAAACAAAACAAAACAAAACAAAACAAAACAAAACAAAACAAAACAAAACAAAACAAAACAAAACAAAACAAAACAAAACAAAACAAAACAAAACAAAACAAAACAAAACAAAACAAAACAAAACAAAACAAAACAAAA